TGGTGGCAGTTTCCAAAGTGCTGTAAGCGAGGAGGCCTTGGTAATACGAAGCATCTGTGTCTCTCGCTCTCCCTGCAACCACAGTGGCCAAAGAGTCAAGGCTGTCAAGTTAATTTTTAGAGGAAAAACATTGGTCTGTGTGAGTGTTGCTCCATTTGCAGACCTATCACGATAGTAACACTAACATACAATTAGTGTTATGCTGAGTCAGATATATCCTGGCCATTGTTTGGTCAAACAGCTGTAATTAGACCCAAGAGAAGAACTCCATATGGAGTACAATGGAATAAATATAATGACATAAATTATACCTCTGCTAGAAATATTTGAGATTAAATGGCAGAGTTGAACTTCTGCAACAAAGACTTCCTCAGAGAAAACACATTTCTTTCCCATTGGATAAAAAGTTCCACCACAAAGTTAAATAGCGGTCAAATTAAGATTTTATGTTTGTTGTTGGCTGATGGGAGGTTATGCAAATGAGTTATTGTGGAAAAATGTCCTTAAATAGAATCTGGATCAACTCTCAGCTGCGTGAGAGAACAATGATGTACCCACACCCATTCAGACATTATATATCATTTTCAAATCTGAATCATCCATTTTTTCAATGACAAAGCATGCACATCTTATAATACCATGTGACTCATTCACCAGTATCTTCTTAAGAATTTTCTTAAATTTGTTTTTTAGAAAGTCTATGAAAAAACCTATATCGGATTCATGACATGTTCTTCAACAGCAGATTTGTTCTCACCTGTGTTTTTCAATTTATAAATTCCAATGTACTCATAAACGAGCCGTTCTGCATATTTTTCCTTAATTAGCACAGGAAACACCCCTTTTATGCCCATATAAGGGAATGAGACTGCACACACACACAAAAATCTGTCTGAATCAAAGAGAGAAGTAGAGAGATGTTGGGAATACCCAAATTTAAATATTCAAGTTAAAAATACTGAAGTCGTTCTAAAGTGGATGTAGTGCTGCTCAAAATGAAACCCAAACAGGCTGATATACTAACACGCTATGTAGTTCCATCAGAAGTGGAGACAAAACATACGCTACTAACAGATACATCAGATTATAGCAGAGGCTGAGTTCCTCTACAAGCCTTAATGCTCAATTTCTGATTGTTTAGATCAGATTTGTTTTGCTTTTTAAATGTGGTTGTGTATGAGACTCCTCATCTTCCTAAAAATCCTAAAAGACTTCTAAAAACAAAAAAAAAGTTTTATAAAAGTGAACAGAACAGTTGCTGTTTAAAGTTTGGTAAACTGCCTCAAGTGAAATCTCTATCTTGTTATAGTTGGTGTTTGTTGAGGCTGAAGACTGAAGATCTGAACATTGAAGTCTTGAAGTTTGGAGTTTTGAACTGAACCGATTGAACGAGTTGCATTTTGAGTATTGAAGTTTCCAGGTTCACCTTTGTTTGTACTGGTAATTTTTATTTTAGACTGTTTATTTTAAGAAGACTCCTAAACCCATAGTGTGCTTAGTGATGGTGTTTAGGCATCTGAACTGTCAGGTAACTATTCAATACATGAAAAGCCTAAGTGTTTACTTTTGAGGGATAATATACAACATATTAAACACGGATTCCATTTTATTCCTTTTTTATTGCAATAATGGAGCTTTATTAAAAATAAAAAAAACTTCATGTAAAGCTCTTGATAGAGCCGAGGGGAAAGCACAACCCTCATTATAAGTCAGCCCATTTTGGTTTCCCCTCTCTCCGTCCACATTCTAACAGATGAGGTCAGTTAGCATATTCATTTTTTCCACTGTAGGGAGAGCTTTTTCATAGGAAACTACTCTATGGCTCAAGTTGCTTGGATTGTTTTTCTAAAACATTATATGGAAGTAATAACTCATCTAGCATGGGAGTCGAAACACATTTTGATACTTTGAAATAAAAATCACGTGCTGTGATGTTCAGCAAAAGTCTTCTACAAATTAAAATGCTTTAGTTGTTTTGTCGAGGAAAATAGGTCAGCAAACAACTGAATGGATCTGTATAATGGGTTTGTAGTGAGCTGCTCTCATAAACCAATCAATGACTTGGCTTCAGTACACCAAACATGAAAGCAGATTGACCAATGAAGATGTCCTGTATTTAAATCTAGGCCACCGCAGTAATGCTGCTCACTGAATGCAATGAATAGCCCAAACAGTGTTTACAAGAATCTTGTTTTCAGATGTTATAGGCCACTAATCACTGTCAAAGACAAGCAGGGGGATGTAACAGCTTTTTCCATGAGAGCAGGAAAGTATTCAAGGATATTTGGATCATCAGTTTGGCCTCCTTTTTGAAAGACCTTGGCTCTAATAAGCTGACATACCTCATAAGGGCACACACCTTTTTGGCTGCCTCTTTTTGGTGTGGTGACTCTCTTCTTCTTCTTCTGTTTTCTAAGTGGTGCTTGGGCCCAGGCTCAGACCTGCATCCCTGAGAACTCGGGCCTCAGTGTGAATCCATCAGGGTGCAGGTCTTCACGGGTGACTGAACACTGAGGAGCATTCAGGGCCCCCAGTCTCACAGCGTGAAAGGTTAACCCACAATGAAGCCTCCTCCATTTGTATAAGCTTCATCATCATTCAGATTGTGTCCTCGAGAGAGAGGGAGTGGCGCAGTCTCAAGTTTAACATGCAGCACTACAGCTCTACCTCATGAGTCCACATGAATATTCCCACAGCCACTCAGCCTGTCACAGAGTTTCTGCTAAAGTTCACTGCTCTCATTTAATCCGACAATACCTTTTTTTACTTTATTCATTTTCACTTACCTTACATGAGATTTGGTCAAAAAAGGCCATTAATTTAATGATGAATTTTTATTAAATCAAAATATCCCCTGACATACAGAGGTGAACCTCCAGTTCTAGCCATTTCTACTCAACTATTTACAGCCAAAAAAACTAACAAACAATACACTATCACACATAATGAACTATCAAGAGTTTAACCACTAAAGACACAGATATGTTCTTTGGAAGTTGATGGAGATCTAAACAGAACTCAAATGGTGATTCTTGGACTCAACAGGTGGCCAACAACTTGCTGGTTTAAAGATTATCTCTCCTCCATAGTTTCCAAACATGTATTTGACATTATACAGCCTTAAACACTTCTTTTTATAGGAATAGTTAGAACTGTATAGAGTGACAATAGATTTAATTTGTGTTATAGCCCGGAAAATCATTTTAGTTTTGGAGGTACTGGTTTCTGTTGGTAGTCTGACTGTTTCCATGTGTGGAAAAAGTCCCTGTAGTAATGCAGAGGCACTGAACACAATCAGCAGTCATCAATATAGCTTTAATATATGTTGATAAAAAATAAACACAGTGCAGCTAATAATCTGCTCTTGGATGTTCCCAAGTCTCAAGGAAAAGACAGTCGTGGCCAGAAGTTCTTTATTGCTAACTGTTGGCTACAGCAGAAAATTTAGCAAAGGCTCGCAGAGATACAGTGTCTTCAGACGATAGCCAATGGGTTCCCAGATTGCAGTGAATTAAGATGACATGTTTAGCAGCACAAATCTTACAACAGCCATATTAATTTACACTGTAGTGATGGGGAAGTTGGCCTTGCTTACTGGCATTAGTTTGTGCCGTTCACCAGCTCCTTGACTCAAGCTAACTATAATGTCATGTTTTATACATACAGTTTTTTGTCTTTACAGTTCAGCCATAATAATATGACACTTTGTTCCTTTGCCAATTGTTGCAGCACCTTTAATACAAATATCTCCTTCGGTGCCGAATATATAGATTTGTTAACATGTTAATGATTAACAATAATGGGTAGATTTATCACAATGTCATAAATTTAAGCCTAAAAAAACCAACAGGCCACATGTTTTGAGTTTCTTGTTACATGAGAGCAATAAACTCAAACATTTTGTTGTCCATGCTTTTTTAAGAGGCTGCAGATGGAGTTTGGTCTGTTTTGATTTTGTTGTTCTCAGTAACTTGGAACCAGCTCTGTGCGGTTACATGTGGTACATTTAGTCTTTTGTATCAACTTCCCGTCTTTTGAGCTTCTTAGTACAATTAATGGGTAAATTACAAGTACAACTTCCTCTCGATCAGCTCTAAGTTTGTATATATAGAGTTTGCCATCACTTTACCAGCACACATGTGATTTTGTCTCTGCTGTTGTTTTTCAGGGCTGAGGAGGGTGAAAAAGCTTGAAGATTAGCGCAGCATTTGTTGTTGTGGGATCCCTGCTAAGTTCACTTCCTTGACCCCTAAGGCTCCCTTCCCCTGCTGACCCCTCTCCTCTCTGAGGTCTGGTATCCGTGAGAAGTCCCCACTCCAGCACACCCCCCTCACCCCTCACTGCTGAAAGGCCTTTCTCTCATTAGCATGCCCCTTGGGCTACTCAGCCTGCTGTTGCCAAACAAACACAGCCAAGATCTTCTTCGCTGTCTCTTTTTTTTAAGGTCGTTTGTCCTCTATCTCTATACTTTCAACAGTTTTTTTTTTCCATTACATTTTTTCTTCTTCCTTATTAGCTCCTTCATCCCTCTTAAAGTATTCATGTTTATGCCCCCTTTAATTTCTCAATCCCCAATTTTCAACTGTTCTTGTTTAGTTTGTATCAACCCGGAAGACTCTGTGTCTTCTTGTTCAGGAAATGTCCGGTGTCTTTATTTTATGTGCCACCAGATGGGAGGAAATGTTGTTGGTCAGAGGTTGCTAATGTATGCAGCAGAGGCAGAGGGCATGTGGTGCAAATCAGAAGATGAAGGGCACACACTCCTCCCCCCCCCCCCTCCCCCCTTTCTTGAACTGTGGTCGAAGGTTTTCAACAACTCTGTCAGCTAAAGTTAAGGTCCCCAGTTGATCCTCTCTGATACAACAAACCTATTCCCACAAAGCGTCATTACTCAGAGTTCATTGAGATATTGGACATTTTCAGCCACAACGACTGTATTTTTAACAATAATAATCCACTAGAATCAGAATACATGCACATTGTGCTCCATCTGAAAACAGAATTTAATTGATTTAAGACACAGGGAACAAATTGAGATCAAACAAATCCCTTCTGTTAAGACCTCTATAAAAACTGTGATGTAAGGTGGAGCAGGGCCTCTAGGAAGCAGGATGACACGGAACAAGCCAAGCAGAGAAGGAGAGGGAGCAAGAGAGGAGAGCGTAAGGGTGGAGAAAAGGAAGAGAGAATCTTGCTGAAAAGAAGCATTTTTGTTGGATGGGAGAAAAACAACCATGGAAACTCCATCTGAAGAAAACCAAAAGCAGTGGCAAGACAAAAGAGGTACCAATGAGTGCTTACAAAGAGCCGCTTCAGTTCTTTCTTTTCACTGCTTGTGTGTACTGGAGCTTTCACCTACTCCAACCTGCCTGCTTTTTACTCCACACAAGTGTTTGGTAGATTTTACTCAGCAGGAAGAATTTAAAATCAGTTCAATCTCCTTATTTCAGCTTTTGTATGCATGTTACTGTTAATACTCCGGTCTAATCTCTGCATCTGTAAAGTTGCAGTGTCTTTCAGGTTTCATGCATTTCCCCATATGTTTTGTTTTATTACCTATATAGTTTAAATATGTAAGATAGGATGGGATGCCTTGCAGCTGCCGGTCATCATCATGCCATTGTCCTTTTTAAGTGAGACTGTAGCAGAATTGACAGCAGATCAGTCAAACGTCAGGGTGCATTTAAAGTTGTTCTTAGGGTGAGGGTGGGAAGGGTAGTGATGATTAATGAGGTGGATGAGGGGCTGGAAAGGACTAAGATACATTGAGGAGTGTGCAGACACTTGAGAGAGAAAGAAGATCATTGATGTCCACCTTCTTGTAGGAATCGACAGGAATCATTGATTTTTCTATTGCTCTTTGATCTTAACATCTAGGTGAAATATTGAGCATTCAGACAAGCTATTTTCCCTGAAAGATGGTGCTATCCCTCTGTTTGCATACAACTTTATGTTCTTTATTTGTAGACAGTTGAATTAGAAAATCTTCCAGAAATGTTTCATTATTTAGAGAAAAGGGATTGAAGATATCCATCACAGTTTCTGACAATTTGTCCAAATTTGCTCACCCTATGTACAGAGCTTTTTCAATTGAGTTTTCTGAGTGACACACAAGTTTCAGTTCTATAAAAGTTAATCAGCAAAATGCTGCTTGATTTTTTCATCTCCTCATCAGAGGGGAGCAGTATGTATATTTACTTATAATTTGTTACTTTGCAGTCATTCAAAAGAGGTGAAAAAGTAAGTACCACCAAATCTGGATTTCCAAAATAACTTCTGTCTTGTAAACCTGTGGGCCTATAAAGCCCATTTAGAATCTGTTTACTTGACCTTCCCATCATTTTCTTACCCATCGCACAGCTCATAATCATATATGTACTCCTCTACTGTACCCAAACACATCATTTATCAGCCATTACTGCCTTCTATCCCTCTCATTGTCACTAAAGACACACACGTACAGCTCCCTGAGCTCCTGATGGGTAAGCTGCAGTCAACAGCCATTAGCTGACAGAGTATGAGTTTCCGTTGTTAGAAAGGTAAACAATGAGACCACTTTCGATAAATTTGCAGTCTTAGATCTCTGCAGTCCCTCGACAGCGGCCATTACCGCCATTATGGCGTTTTTAAGTATCACTCCTCTCAAAGTGTAGTGTGGAAAATGAGACTGTTTCTCATAAATGGTCTTTGGCATCTCGCCTCAATGAAGTCAACAAAAAACAACACTTTAGCATTAGCTGTAAACACACACATCTGTTTGCAATGTGGCTAGATGTTCGATTCAAAGTGGATGGCCGTAAAACAGAGTTTATAGCCCTCGGTGTGCAGGATCCAGGGAGGAGAAGGAAGATTCACCATTCTCCATCATTAATGTGAGGGTCCAAATGTATTTATTTGTGTGTTGACTTAGTTGGTTTATGACACAAATACCTTTCTTAGACGGGTATCATTTGGAGTGCTTAAATGTGTTTGTGTTTCATGTGGATCTACGTACAAGAGGGTGTGTATGTGTTTGTGTCTGGTATTGACTTCACATTAAACAATGATTTTCAAAGTATCTGCTGCAAACTTGGTCACATCTGGTTGGTATAAGATCGTAACCTTTCCATCAAGGGTCTCAGCTGTTGGAAGAAATCACCTTTGGTGTGTCAACAGGCTGTGTTGATGTGATGGCTGTTGTTGAAGGGTGGATGGTGGTGATGAAGCAGAACCAGCTGCAGGGATTAGAGTGACAAGTTTAAGTCAAGCAAATTGCAGGGCTGGATTAACCTGCTTGGTGACCTTGGGGCAGTGATTTACTCTTGGGCAACCCAGTGTCAACCCAAGTCCTCAATTAAAGCAGTTTGGTCAGTTTTCTACAGCTTAAAAATATATCACCCATAGGAACACCTGAAGTGTGATTTCTGGACACTGTCTCCTTGCCTATTGAATAATAGCGGAGTTCAAGTCTGATGCTATATTATAAAAAATGTATAAGGCCATCTGTGGTGGTGGTCAGGTGCAAATGGACTGGTCAAACAAACACAGGACTTTAATCCAAGGTAGTAGAATTGATAACCGGGTTATTTAAAGTTTTGTAACATAAAACAGTCTAATCCAATATGGTGTGTATTTTTTGAAGGCTATGTATATAAGCACTTATTTAGACCCACATACAATGTTTTTCCTAACCAACCAATAAAATCTTTTTAGACCATAAAGAAACCCAAACTGCAAACAGTTAATTTTGACTTTTTTTCTGGAAAAATAGATTAAACAATTAAATTATCATCAAGCAAGATCAAAATTGCTCATGTTTTTTTTTTAGCTAGCGGACTCAAAAGTAATTGATTAAACATTGCAAATGATAACTCTTCAATTCCAGGTAGTCACGACTTTTTAAATGAAACTCTGCTTTATTAAGGTAAAAAGCACAAAAAATTATAAATTTTAAAACTAAAGAGGCCAAAGGCACATCATCAACATCAGTCTGATTTGGGATCTTTGTTGTCATTTCACATTTCTCTTCACCTTCCTTTTCTATTTAGTATTAACAAGCAAGTTTTAAATGTTAAAAAACAACAAACACCAATGAATAAACACAGGAATTTTGGGGACTCTGGAGCTCATAGGTACAATATTTTGTTTGTTAGACTCTAGATTAAGATCAAATATTTCTGTGACTTTGTCCAGCTGTGCCCCTGTCTATTTGTTTCTCTGAGTCTAAATGCTAGCTTGCATGCATCTCGTGTCAGACTTAATGAGACAACTTTTTTTACACACTGTACGATTTGTGTTGATTTGACAAACAGGATTTTGCTGGAGAGTGAAGTGGCTGCTGTGGCCCTTTGTGGTTGAGCTATGTGCAGTGCTGGAGGGGCACACAGGATGGAGCTCAGCGGTGGGCTTGTCCTGGGCCTTGAGCCTTCTAGGCCGGAAGAGCCGGCCGTGGTTTACTGCCACTGTGAATGGCCCCTGAGAGTCCAGTGTGATGGACAGTCTGGGGTTGTACACACTGGCTCTTTGTATCCAGGCCTCTTGGACTCTCTCTGTGTCTCTATTATTTCTCCCTGTGATTCTACTGTGGTAAATCTAGCTCTGCTGTAAGGCCTCACATTGTCATCACAAACAGTTGCTAACTTGTCTGTGTGTCCTTCCTTTTCCTTCTATCTCTCCTCTCATTCATGTACTGTAGCTATGATGCTGGAGAGGCTTGAAGTGGTTAGAGGTCTGACAGGAGTATTACAAGGAGAGCATGTGAATGTCATCAGAAAGGGGAAAAAAAGGCCCAACGTGACCCTCATTTATGCCCCTCCACTCAGAACCAGTCAGCAGGATCCATTTAGTACAAGCTTGTTGTTTGGAGAGACTTCACTGTTAAACCCTGTGGAGGATGATTCAGGCGCAAGTCTGACCTGCAATGTCCTGTTTGCCATGAAATCCCACATAGTGCACTTAAAGGAAAACTGTACTTCGTACTATGCTGCGTGGAAGGTTTCCTGATACTGGCTGGCTTTCGTATAACTCTTAAATACACATGAAAACATCTTGTGTGAAATTTGTTATGTCATTCATCTATGAACTACACTTTTAAAACAGAGGCAACTTAAAATGTATAGTAGGCTACATCTGATAATGGATGTTTAGTTTTGGGATACATTTTTACACTTCTATAAAAATCAATAGTTCTAGTTTTTGTTAAGTATTGGATCTTGTTTTGCCAAGAATTAGATACGAAGATAGCTACTACTCTCCTACTTGTCTGGTAAATACATTATAAATAAGTGACTCCAGGAAGTCAGCAAGCCTGTCCAGGAAGTAGTCCTCAACATAAACCCCATCCACAAATTGTTATACTTGTCTTTATATTCTGCACACAAAAAAAAACCGATATGATGTGTCAAGTTGTAAAACTTTAAACCTGCTGTTATCAAGATTTGTAGAGCCAGGCTAGCTGTTTCTGTTTGGTTCCAGGCTAAATGCTAAACAAAATAAGCTAACTCCTAGCTTGCTTTTGCTGTGTATTTACAGTAGTATCACTTTCTTATAAACTCAACTGAAATACAAGGAACAATGTAGGAAGCTGCTTGCATGGGTTGATTCTGAAATATGAGGCCTTCTATGAAGTTTAATATCTGAAGATGCTGCACTAGCTCTCAGAATCCCACTTTGGCTTTAAAAATGAACTATACAAAACTGATATTACTTTGATGCAGACTACTGTCTTCATGGTACGTTTTGCAGGGCTGCCTAAAAGTTTGGCTTTGTAGTTTTTTTCTGTCTCCCCTGATGTCTAATACCAGGACTTAAGCTTTCACAGAGGCTGTTTGTGAACCGAGTCATATTCTTGAGGTTATAGTTGAACCTTGTCAGTTGTTCCAGTGTTTTTCCAGTCAGCCAGAACAGAGTTATGCTTACCTGCCAATATGTCCAAACCAGCTGTGAAAATACCACCATGGATTTATTGGGTTATTAAGCATAATAACATGAAATTGACACAAGGTTTCTCCAATGAGAGGATAATCTCAGTCTGGATAGATTGATGCTGCAAAAGCAAACCACTCCTGTGGAACTGACACGATTCAAACAGATGGCTCATCGATTGGATTGGTGGTTTTTAAACATAATGTACTTTTTTCCCACTCTTAATGCTCCATGTTAGACGAGCATAGCAGAAACAGACCTGTCAGTCTGACCTTCTCCGCGACAGGCTTGAAGCGGAGGTGGGGTTCATGGTCAATGTGAGGTTTTAAAGCATGTAAAGCATTTCATATATTTGTTAAGACTAACCAGTTTTCTCTGATGGTTAAACTGACATATCTTCAGACAGCAGACTGGCTGTCATAACGATATCATAGCATCCAGCACCGTAACAGTGACACATTTTGAGGCATGGTTTTAAATGAAAACGACACATAATCGCCTGAGTAGCAGCCATGCTTATTTCATCCATGACATGTCACAGTTAATTGCAATCAAATAAATTCACAATGAACCAATGTGACTGTTATAGCTGCTTCCTTTGTTCAGTACATGTACTGCAAAGCATATGGAAACAGATACAGAAATGTCTCTTGAGGAGGTTGAACCCTGGGAGAAAGTTGATTCATAACAAAGATATAGTCTGCTACTGGATCATAACTTCCTAATAGTGTCATCCACTACAAGAGACCTTTTAATGGACTGTGTTTACTTTACATCTGGGCTCAATATCCTGTGGACCTCTGCATTCTGACTCCCAGCAGCCCACTCGCCCTCCCCTCCATGCTCATCAGAGAAATGTGGGCTGCGGTAGAAGTTAGCGACTCTGCTGTGGGCACATTCATGAAGTTGTGGTGAGCATGCTGCCATGACAACTCCTATTCAACCAGCATGGGACAAAAATGTTTTTATCTCCCTGTACTACACAAACAGACAGGATGCCCAGCAGCAGTATTTCTGTTTTAATTTGCTGTGTCAAGGCAGAGAGCACACACACAGATGAACTTTAAAGGTTCTCACCTCGTAGAATGTGGAGCGAAGAGTTTTTAGTTTGTTTCCTCCAAGGAAAACAAATATGTGTTGCGTTTTAATATGCCCTTACCATCTCCAATCCAGAATACGTTTTCCTGTTTCCTTTTTGTGCATTAGTTGGCCTCTAATAAACTTGCACTTAACTTTTGCATTTTTTAAAACAGCAAAACATCACAAATGATGCATCAAGATTTTTACGGGAACATTTGAATGATCATTTCTTACCACATTGTAATGGCACCATTATCCTGTTGAGTAGACTGTGCTTAGCTTAGGTAATGGTGATTCCATTAGTAGATATTGTACCTTTTTTTTTTTTTTTTTTTTAAAGACAGAGCATTATAAGCCTCACTTTCAACAGGAACTAGGGACTTGCATCTGAAATATTTTTTGTTTTGGCAGCAGTGCAGCTAGCTGTAATGTAGAGCTTGATAGTAAGACTTGGTATTTACATGCAGATGCTGTGCATCATTTATCAGATTATCTGCTTGTGTGCTCCATTTATATGTGTTTGCAATGTATTGAATGTTAAAAAGAAATGTACATAGCCTCTTATTCAAAAGTGGGCCAACGGGGAAGTGCCTTAAGGCTGCACAGTTATTAATGACCAGCAGGTGTGGACTACAGTGGTTATACAAAAGATGGGAATATAACAGCAAAAAAATTCTTTACTGAGATAATGAGCAACTGAGTATAATTGCCACTTTCAAGTGTTCTTCAATACAGCACAATTTTCATTTTGTAAACTTTGGTCTCATTTTGGAGTAAACTTGAAGATAAAGCAGTGGATGCTCTAGAGGCTAGGGCGTGGCTCTGAGGATAAATGTTTATAAAGAGAGATACACTGTCCAAAAAGTTGCTTACACTTCTTTAATACATTCTAGTCGAATACTCATTGTCTGTCTTCTTCTGTTTTGGTCTTCACTAACTCCTAAATGACAGCTACCTCATCAGCTGTGATCATCCACCATGTTCACCAGCTAGTAAATGTTACTGGGTACACAGCTAACCAGGGGTTTATCAGAGATATGTTTACCGAAAATTGCTGATGGCAGCAATGAGAGTGAACCAAAACAGATTTGCTGTGGGCCTGGAAACCAAAACAAAGAGCTAAAAGAGGCTGAAAAATCTTTAGAGCTGAGAGGAGCTGTTGCTGGTTTGTCACTAACAGAAACATCTGTTGCATCCAAATCATTTGATCCCATTTTAATAAAAGCTATTGATTAAACTAGCATTAAATGCTTTAGTTGCAGTGTGACATGAGGCATATGTGAGGGATTTAAAACATTACCAGCCGTTGACCTGGATGTCCTGTGACTAACATCCGGTCATACACGTGTATCTGATTGGAAGCACACTGTGGTTTGTTTGCATGGATCCACAGACAGTGCATTGTAATGACTGGTTGTGTTTGTAGGGTTTAGAAACACATTGGATAAGGCAGATCCATCTGGGTCACTTCATTCCCTCATTGTGAGTTTTATATTGATTTCCATTCCAGCTTGGCAGGCAGACACACATTGCTCTAACCTGCTGGAAGGCCATTAGTGCCCTTTAAGTGAAGGGATGAATTGTCAGATGAAACATTATAGGGAGTGAAGACTGAGAAACCTCAGCCTCCTCACACAGGAAACAGTTTCTGATGGTACTAGAGATCTCAGAGGTTTGGAAAGGAAGCACGTTGCATCAAGCCTGGCCCCAGAGGAATTATATGAACTTTACTTTGAACAGACATGTCAGAATATGTTCCTTTGAGGAGTTCTTCATATGATCTTCACGGTTAGTTAGATATGGCCCTGTGAGACTTAGTATCTGTGAAATGATTTCAGTGAATAGCTGGAAGTTGAATTCTTTGACAGTTGCACCGTTTGATTGAATCAGAAGGAAAAGATCATCTTGAAACCCAAACAGGACAGGCTTCGTGTAGCTTAGCTTCAGTCTCTAATCATTGTCTGGCCAAATAACAGGTCCCGGGAATCACCAGTTTTCCCATTTTCCTTCTGAGGCCCCATGTTTTTGTCCGTTATCCATTTCTATTTTTCATAAGCTCTGTTTTCAGCTGGATGCTCATGAAAATGTAGTTACCTTTTGTTTTTTTACCGTTTGTTTTGCGTCTCTTTACATCGTGTTGAGCTGTGAATTTTCACCCTGACTCTCCAGACTTTTTCCAGCCAGCTGGTATTGAAGCTGCTTCATACTTTTTCTCTTTCCAGCATCTGTTTTTTCACTCTTTTATTTATACTGTGATTATTTAGACCACATACAGGTAGCAGTGATAGAAAGGCTTAAAGAGTCGTTGTAGGGTTGGGCTATGTTGCTTCATCTACATCTTGAATATGTTGTGAAAATGACACTGTGACCAGTGGCGATTCTAGAGTCCGTTGGGGCCCCAGGCAAAAACCAACTGAAGGGTCCTCAAACTATCATGTCTGCCCCAGTGGCCCAATGCATACTCCTCTTCCTCTTTTTTCTCTCCTGTAGATGGGTAATTCCTAATGACCTCTATTGACCGTCATTTACTTCTGTTTTCACAACATTGATTCATGGACAGTGAGTGCTGCCAGATGGGGCCCCCTTAGAGAGGTTTTCTACTGTCATTGCAAAATTTGCACATTTAGGGCCACTGCTGTGGTTTAAACTTTGTCACCCATCAGGGGCCCCCTACTGGTCTGGGGCCCCAAGCAGCTCCTCTGACTGTGACTTTTGCGGCCTCCTTTTTATGTCATGTCCAGCCTTTTAGACCTGCACATGACCTGGAGAGCCTCTTTAGACCTGCACATGACCTGGAGAGCCTCTTTAGACGTGCACATGACCTGGAGATGATATTTACATAGAGTGTTATTATGGCCTTTTAAAGGGTTCTAAAGCACTGTGAGGTCAAACAATACTTTTACTGTTTCTTTCCTCTCCTACAGGGTGCTTCGAGTGCTGCATCAAGTGTTTAGGTGGGGTGCCGTACGCGTCACTGGTGGCTACTATCCTCTGCTTCTCTGGGGTGGCCCTGTTCTGTGGATGTGGCCATGTGGCTCTCACTGGCACAGTCACCATCCTGGAAACTCACTTCTCCAAGGTGACCAGTGATCACGCCATGCTGACTGACATGTAAGTGACCTTGATGAAAAAAAAAAAATACTGTTGATTACATCCTGGTGAACTGTGTGTGTGTTTGATGTGACAGTGGGATCCATTACATAATGTGCTCACCCTGAGATGTTTTTATCACATACTCGTCACTATAATAAAGGCCTAAATGTAGGATAGATACCACTTTTAATGAAGTTTACTTTATGTAGGGTATTTTTAGGTGATAACAACTCCCACGTTCAGGTTGTTCTGGAGAACAGTCCTAATATGGACCTTTGATGATTTTACAGTGCATCCATTAGTGCAGACAATAAAAGAGGAATGACAGAGGCAGGGCCGCACATATGTTTTATGTTGGGGCAGATTTTGAGTGCTCTGTTTAATTGAAGATGTCTACAGGGGCAGCCTGTCTCTTGGCGGATGGTTTCCAGAGACATGCATCACCTGTTATCTCCACATTTGGGATTAGCGTCTCTCCTCAGGTCTTAGGAAAGCTGGAACACTATTTCAATCATCTGTTCATGATTAAACAGCAAACCCAGGTTACTCATGTTTTAAGACTGCATGAATAAAACAATGATTGTAAGCAGCTATTTTCCAAACTAGACAGCGGTACGTCATGCTATTTCTTTACCTGACATTTTTAGTAGGTCTTAGCAGGTGTTATGTCTGGAGGGAGAAACATGTTATGCATTGATTGATAGTCTTTCTGTTTTTTGTGGCTTTACTTGCACAGCTAAGCTTATGTGTGACATTTCTCATTAACAGTATACAGCTGATGCAGTATGTCATCTATGGCATCGCCTCCTTCTTCTTCTTGTACGGGATCATTCTGCTTGCTGAGGGCTTCTACACCACCAGTGCCGTCAAAGAACTGCACAGCGAGTTCAAGACCACCATCTGTGGACGCTGCATCAGTGGAATGGTATGTTAACACAACCACAGAGCTGCTTGTGAGCGTTATTCTTAATCACAGACAGCTTTAAAACCATGTGATTATAATATAGAACAAAAGCAAAGATGAAAATGTTTGTTACAGTAACAAGAAAGTGTATGAGGAGGAGGGTACTATATGTTTTTCAACTTGCTTTGGTTTCTGATGATGCTTGCATTGTGCCATCTGTGTGTCCTCAGTTTGTTTTCCTCACATACATCCTGGGTGTGGCCTGGCTCGGTGTGTTCGGCTTCTCCGCCGTGCCGGTCTTCCTTTTCTACAACATGTGGTCCACCTGTGCCACCATGAAGTCCCCCATGGCCAACCTCACCAACATTGACTCTATCTGTGTGGATGTTCGTCAGTATGGTAAGAGAGTAGATTTTGTCTCGGTCAGCATCATTAGCCTCCACTCAGCAAATAGTTTTTCAAGATGCATGCGTGAGTTGGCTTAGAACCAATATACTGTTTAAAATTCTCAATGCATTTAACCCTTGCAAGCCTCATATCAATTTAAGAAACACCTCACCCAATCCATTCAGCATTTATACTGCAATTGTTGTTAAAAAATGTAATATTCAAAAAAATCATAGTGAAATTGGAAAGTCTGTAAAACTACATAATTTTCCAGCCTTCTTAATCCTGTATTAAATATTTTGTAACTTTTGGATCTGGTTGTCACTGAAAACTTAAAAAAAAAAAACTGAATCAGCTTTCTTTTTTAGCTCGTCCCTCCAGTTCCACTGCTGTGTTTAGTCATAATGAAAATAATTAGCTATGAGACCCCCCCCCAAAAAAACTTTCTTGCATCTTCCAAAAAATTAAAAAAACTTAAGGTTGGCAGATTTTTATTAAAAGTTAAAAAAGAGAGAAGGTTACAAATCTATGCTGCAGAGTCAGAGACATCTTGGGTCAGACTTCAAAAACCTCTCCGTAATCCAACTCCATTGTAGGATTTTTCTCAAGCTCAGTTCATAATGCATGCCTTAAGTCACAGATATGTTGACTACAGACTGATTATAAGTTAGCCAATCCTCATGTGTAATAATTGGCATGATGCCCCTTTAAATATAAAGTATATATAAAGTTTATAAGAAAATGTGTAAAACAAAACAAAAACCATTTGGTGCTTTGCTTTGTAGTCATCAACTCAATGGGTTAAAGTCTTTGTTCCTGATCGAGTTATTTAATGGTAACATCTGGATGAATATGAAACCCTTTGAATTTTTACACTGCAGGAATCATCCCTTGGAATGCCACACCAGGCAAGGCGTGTGGATCTACGCTAGGCGACATCTGCAACACCAGTGACGTAAGAGACTCTTTTCTATCCACTGACATTGATAAGAGGCACACACACACACACACACACACACACACACACACACACACACACACACACACACACACACACACACACACACACACACACACACACACACACACACACACACACACACACACACACACACACACACACACACACACACACACACACACAGGGCAGAGAAACAGGGCAGAGAAACAGGGCATAAAAATTACTTCTTTTAACTGAAAGAAAAGCTCACTGTTGCTTGTCATTTTTCCAGTTCTACCTGTCTTATCACCTGTACATTGTGGCGTGCGCTGGGGCTGGAGCCACTGTGATTGCTCTGGTAAGCCTCCCTCCACTCTCTCCATCCTCTCCTTTTAGTCCATCTCTGCACGGTTTGTATCAGCAGATCACGAGTCAAAGTGCTCCTCTTGTCATGTCCATTTGGTTTACCACACTGAGGAAGATTACACTTCTTCAGCACCAATTCCATTCGCTCTTTTACCATCTGCTAAGCCAGCATTTTATTCTAGAATGAATGGAAGAGAGAGTAGTTTGGCTTGATTATTGTTTTTCACAATATATGTTTTAATTTGTAAAATGATTGGTACATTTACTAACGAGTCACATGACCTGTGACGAGAAGGTCACCAGCATGTTGTCTTACAACCTTTTCTGTTCTTTTCCACCAGCTGATCTACATGATGGCTACCACTTATAACTTTGCTGTTTTGAAGTTTAAGAGTCGAGAAGACTGCTGCACTAAGTTTTAAACTGTTTTCAAAGGCGCAGCACTAGATTTGAGGCTGCACTGAGTAAAGACAGTTTACCACTGACAACAAATGAACTAAAAAGATGAGACTAGAAAAAAAAAAATCAACATCTCTTGATTAGTGTAAATAGCTGATTGTATGCTTCCTTTAGCATTTGGTATCCAGGGATATTGCTGATGAAGGTTGTCTTCAGATTGGGGTGGTGTTTGGTTTGTTCTGCTTTCCTTCGCACTCAGTTTTAGAAATGTGTCACCATCAGCTTTTATGGAAATGTGCACTGCTCTGCTAGAAATCCACAAAAGTGTTATTTATATTCTTAATGTGTGAGGCCCATTTTGGCCTGCACAGACGCATACATTGCGTTAGTATTTCAGATTTAAAACAAACAGTATTAAGCATGCAGTCTGCCACACTGTATAAGAGGACGAGCATCAGTCTGCAGTCGGAGCTGAAATGCGATTTTGTACACTGAATCATAAATGTAAGATGCTTGTGCAGGTTGCAACTTTAAATTCAGGTTGCAACTTTCAATTCAAATGAGAATATTAAAGCAAGCAAAAACACAGCACCAAGCCTCCAGATGTACAGTATTAAGCTCTCAAACTAGTGGGCATCTCGTGGCAAATAGAAAAGGTGTTCTCAGGCTTTACATTTTGATCGCCACATCAGCATTTTTGGTCTGGATGAATTCTAGTCAAACATTCATAAAAAAAAGGCTAGCTACAGTTGCTAAGTGCCTTCTTTCTTTAGCCTTAATATTTTGGTACCAACCCACAAAAACCACCAAGTGTTACAATGAAAATATTCAGTATTATATATATTTTGTCATAAGTTAACTAAAACAAACTAAAAGCCTTTCATCAACACTGTATTATGCTGGTGAGTATTATGATGAGCAGTGGTGTTAATTGTAGATTTCAGAGTAACTGCACATACATAGGACAGCACATTCTAAAAAGGTTAGGCCAGTATGAGGGGTTTCCTTCTGCATGAGGCCCTGAGGCTCACTTTGATTTCATGTATATTATAAAAAGGAAATACGAAACTCTCCTCTTTTTAGTGTAGATTAAATGTTTTTTTTTATGAGGGTTGACACTGCTATAGCCTCGGCCATGAAGTTGTTCTGTCCCATACTGTTTCCTTTGATTCTTTCTCAAAATGCCGTTAAAGAGCCATTTGTTGTTACCTTAACACTGAGCCTGCATGCTTCCACCTTGCAGATTCTCTGATCTGTTTAGAGTTACTTATACTCCATATTACATTATATTTAATTTTTCCTCTAAGTTTTTTTCAAGACTGTAGCTTTTACTTTCATTATTAAATAAACAATCTTTGTTTACAAAAGTACCCTACTTGGTCTATTTCTTATAAATCCATTATAATGCAGAATGGGAAAGGGTCAGGTTTCACAAAGTTGCTTGCTATGCACTAACCACAAGCTTTTACTGCTGCATAAACCTTGCATGACCTCTGGCTGTTCCTCTTTTTATTATCACTCTCATTTCTGTAGTTTAATGCACCGAAATAAATAGTAGTGTTAAAATTAAGAATTAGTTCTGATTGTAACGGAGATGTTACAATAATTGTAAGTCTTTTTCAGTGATGTCTTTTTGTGTGTTTTTTTTTTAAAAAGCTTAAATTTATGTTTACTACGTATTGTAGCTCTGACTCCTGTAGCTTGCTTTGCATCTCTGACATGCTCACCGGCCATCCACCTCACCCTTCTCTTCCAGATCCACTTCCTCATGATTCTCTCTGCAAACTGGGCCTACCTTAAGGATGCCAGTCACATGCATGCCTACCAAGACATCAAAATGAAGGAAGAGCGGGAGCTGCAGGACATCACATCACGCTCAAAGGAATGCCTCAATTCCTACACATAAGGATAAAACACGCTTACACACACAGTCCACAGATAAACTTGTACACACTCATGTTAAACAACACACACACACACACACACACACACACACACACACACACACACACACACACACACACACACACACACACACACACACACACACACACACACACACACACACACACACACACACACACACACACACACACACACACACACACACACACACACACACGGCCCATTTGGACCAAGACAACGCTCGGCTCCGCTAAAATGACCTGCCAACTGCCTTGATACAGTGCAGTACTAACCAGGCTCTAACAAACTAACGCATCAGTTTTGCTTTCTGCACTAACTCACTTCTCAAAAGTTTTATTTTTTTTAAGAAGGGAAAAAAAAAGAGTTTTGGAATGTGATATTCATGAAGTGTTTGGTTTTCTTCAGTCTCTTTCAACGCCAGTGAAGCTTAAGACATTGCACTATTCTTAAACAATGCATAACAATGAAAGGTTGGTTTTCCATTCTTGCTGTCTTTCTTGAAGCTGTGTCCTCCAGTTTTCAACATCCTATGTGTTCCATTTATTTTCTCCAATTACAAATGCAGATGAAGATTACACTACATGAAAGGCCTTCCGTCCAGTCTGAGTCTGTCACCTTTAGATCCGCTGACAGTTTGTTTAACCTTACAGAAAGTGATGACTTTTAAGATGCAAACCCAGCTCATACATGTCATTTAAACTTAGTGAAAACTCACATTCTCAACATTCTAATTTCATTGTACTCCTCTCTTTTTAAAAATCACTCGGATCATTCATGGCCTACATCGACACTACCTCAGATATGCACTAGAGCCTATGGATCATTTTTAACAGAAACAAATCAAACACTTCTCCCATGTCAAAGTGTGTTTTGAAATTGCCGTATTATTGTTGAAACATGGATTTATTAGTGTCACTGCACAGTAAACCAAGCCCACAGGTAGAGACATCTTTCAAATCACAGAAAGACAGGGTTGAATTTGTACACAACGCCATAAGATGAACTTGCTCGGTGAAAATGGACTGCTGCCAACAATAAGGACAAAAAGGTATTAAATACCTTCAACGCTTGGTCCTTTGATATTCATTCATGCCAATGAGAAAGTTCTCTGATCCAACAAAACTGCTTCTTCAGCCAATATCTAATGTAATATCTCATCTTATATTGTTGTTGATTTTTTAAATCGTCCCATAAAACAAGTGTAACTACAGTCAATGTGCAATGGTACTATGGAGAACCCAACGGCTCAAGAGCTACAAGTGTGAAAAATGTTCACTTGCAACAAGTCCAGATATTTTTAGTGTTTTGTTACTGAAACAACTTAAGTTCTTTTTCTTAATTTTCTATAATTGCACCTGTTTTTAAGTGCAATTGTTATAATGCTGAAATAATTACTCATGTAATCTTTTTATGACTATTAGTTGAGTTACAGGGATAACTTGATGTTTCTTTGTTGCATGAACTGTTTCTGCAGTGACACACGTGATGTACAGAAGTGTATACTGACATCAGTAGTAGGCAGTGTTTGCCTGGTTCCTTTTTTTTTTCTCTAACTGAATACAACTTAATCAAGTCTATGTAGCCCATTAGTTTTTTTTTTAGGTTCCTTAATTCAAGTCAGAACTTTAAGAGTCTATGATTATTTTGTTGCCTGATAGTAAACCTGTCTTTTTTTCTATGAATGTCAAGGGCTTCCTCATTAGTTATTGAACTTGTAACAGATAATAACTAGCTGCAACATAAGTCATTAAAAAAAAAAAAAAAGTGCAGCAATCTAAATGGTCAATTTAGCCAAAGTATGAATGCCATTGTGAAGAAACTGCCAGGGTTTACAGATGTTAATAATAAGAGTGTCAACATCTGGTCTCTGTATGCTGTGGTTTCTTATTGATGCACCAAAAAGGAAGGAATAAAGGCTACCTAATAATCACCAGGAGGACAACAATCTAGCATCCTGTCTGACTGGAAACCCCCTTTATGACATTATTCAACTGGCCTGTTGACAGTTTTTATGAAAATAAAAAATGTAAACAAACTTTTCTCTCTTGTGGTGGAAGAGTTTTTTCTTATGCATGATATTGTTTGAAGATGTAAAGTCAATCCACTAGAAAAAAAAAATCGATTTATTCATACATATACAGTTGATGTAAAAAGAGTTCATAACACATTTACAATAAATGCTTCACACTTGTGTTAAGAGTACAAAAACTACAAAGGCCTGAGAAATTCATCGTTTCTTATGAGCACTCCGGGACCGCCGGCTTACCAGAAATCATCTTCATCTTTGTGGGAATAAGCTGCAATGCTGGGAAAACAAAGTGAAGTTTGTTAGGTAAGGCCTTGAGGGACAGAAAAGAAAAAAAAAACGGCACTAAAAATAGAAAAGTATGTCTCAATGATCTCCTCCTTAAGACAACATAATTCCAGAACACATAATGTAAAACAAAGGCCAGGAGATGAGACGGCAAAAAACAAATGAAATGTTATGTGAAGAAGATTATTAAGGCTTAAATGTTTATTAAACTTTCTGACGCTAATAACAGAATTTGTATTAATAAGTGGAGCCATTCAACTATGCACCTATTTTGTAAGCGACCTAGTCAACTTTTTTTTTTAGTTACCTGTTGTCTTTCTCCTCCGACAAACTCTTGACCTCTGGGCTCGAATGTCCTGTTTCATCTCTTCCAGGGCTCTATAAAAATAAAAGCTGGATGAACCCACAGGGAAAGTTGATCTGACATGGATCTCGGACTTTATGTGTGATAATCTCACCGGTGCATGCTGCTTGTCTTTTGCTTCCAGGACCAACTTCATGTATTTCTCCAGCGGATTTTCACCTTTAGACTTCTCTTCCTCTTTATTATCTGCCTCTTGATTCTGCTCTCCATCTCCTATTTTCATCTCACTTTTGTCCTCTTGTTCCTCCCTTGTTATCTCCACCTCCTGCAAAAGCTGATCAGAAAAAAAGGTTAATATTCATTTGATCATAGACAGATAGGTGTAAAGATTATAAAGGGAAGCTAGAACTCTTTCTGATTTTAGGTTCATCATTACCGTCTCTTCCTCGAGTCTTTTAAGCTCTTGTAACTCCCTCTCTCGGGCTTCTTCTTGCTCCCTTTGCCTTTGTTCTTGTCTGTCCTTTCGTTCTCTTTCCCACCTCTGCTCCTCTTCCTCTTCCTCCTTTTCCCATGCAGATTCCACTGAAGTTTCTGTGACTTTGATAAAACACACAGATTGACATGAGTCAAACAAGTTGTCTCTCATTTTTGTTCAGGAGTGAACCATGCCAGTAAAAAATCAGAGTCATACAGTCAGACTGTACAGTAGAAGTCAGGTCATTCTAGTCATTTGGGGTCAGAGATGATAAAAGTGTGTGGGGGGGGGGGGGACTAACAACTGACCTGCTAGGCCCTGCGAGTCTTTCGGGTCTTCTGGGAGGTCCTGTGGGTGGGAGACAGCGGGGCCATCAGGGGCCTCCTCAGAGAGAGGGACGGCAGTGTCCGGGAGAAGCTCTGGAATGTGGCTGGGCTCTGGAGGGAGACATGCACAAAGAGATCTTTTATTCCTCGCCATAATGCGACAGGGCCAGAGGACCGGCACAGAATACATAATCAGCTACCCTTCATCTTCACCATTGTGCAGGGCCACTGAAAGGACACTTTGGAGGCCGGTCACACACTCATTAAAAAACAGCCATTCTCAAATCCAAAACCTCCAAACCGGATATACTCATTTTGTATTGTGCAGGGATCCCGATTAAAGAAATGGACTCATTTTGTATTGATGGATAAATAAATTACATGTGAAAATGTATTTTATGAAAAACTGACAAAATGCAGAGAAGTCATCAGAGCAGTATCAACAAAGTGCACCTATGTCTCTGAGGATACAGTGATTCAGGCTAAACAGGAAAACCTTTAAATTGTCCTTTTGAAAAGGATGCTTAGAGGGCTTGTTGTGTATAATTCATATCTTACTGACTGTAAAAACAACATGAAACAGAACTGTGAAGTGAACTTTATGTGCCCTAAAGTTCCTGTGCCCTAAAGAGGCCTTCATTACTTAGCATTAAAGGACTGCAACGCTGAGCTAATAATGACTGAAATGAACAGAGGTGAGGTATTCTAGAGCATTTAAAATGTAAAAAAAAAAACTATAGCTAACATATTTGCTAAGAGTACCTGATAGACTCTGTCCAAGATCTTCAAGGCTGATTTTCTCTGGCTGTGGGGAAGACTCCAAGCTGGAGACCACAGGCTGTAACTCAGGTGGACTACACAGAAACAGAATCCAATGTGCGGGGCATTAGTATTCACTACTTTGAAACGTGCATTTAAATGATGTCATGTCCTTGCCGAAGTGATGCCAGATGGTACCTGGTCTGGTCTCGTGCTGTGCTCTTGAGCTGTGGACTGTAGGGTGGACTGTGCTCGGAGAAAAAGTCACCTGAGGTGGCCACCTCATCTCGGGGGGCCTGAGGGGGCTGTCTTCCAGATGACAACTCAGGGAACGCCATTGCAGACATAACTGCTTCTATGAGGGTTGAAGACTTTACATTAGCCAAAATGCTCAAAGCAGGAAGATTACAAAACAAGAGACAGATGTGAAAAGTTGTTGGCTGAATGTTTCAAATGTTTCAACATTAATCAAATAAATACAGTCTTATGCAGTCATGTGCAGTTTGCATGTGAAAGCAAATTCATTATTTATTTCTCCACAGGTAAGAGGTTGTTGCATTAAATCCTTTTTTTGAAGTGCTTTCACAGGATGAATCATATTTGAAAGGTACCTTGTATGATCTCTCTTTGAAGCGTTCTCCTGGAGGATGAGCGTGGTGTGGAGGATAGACGTCTGGAAGGAGAGCTGCTTCCATTCTGAGGGGGTTCTTCTGTTAGAGGTTCAGTCAGTAAATGGAGACTGTGGTCGGGGAAAATTGGGGATTGGGGTTGGTTTTGGTCCTCTGAGAAGGTCACTCGTAATTGTGCAGGAGGAACACTGTTTTTAGTGGTATAGGGTAGTGAGGAGGGGGTTCTGGTAGTTTGTGGTGACAGTGGTCTGTGTGCGACCTTTGACTTGTGTGGTGCGTGGGTGTGTGAGTGGTGAGAAAGTAGTTTCCTATGGAGAGAGTCAGGGTGACGTGAAGGATGTGCTTGTTGTGGGGAAAGAGCTCTGGGGGGAAGCATGTGTGAGAGGGTGGAGCACACCGCCCTCTGCTGGTAGCTCCTGTAAGCCTCCTCCAAGATGTCCGCCTCCTTCTGCAGCTCCTGGATCCGAGCCTTGGCATCAGCCACCAGATCCATGTCGGAGTCTGGAGAGTCGCTCCGAGGCCAATCGTGTCCTCTGGAGGGCCCGCCTGCTTCACAAACACCATCATAAACCACCTTGGACCTCAGCAAAGCTCTGTCCACATAGACGTCAGGGGGGACCAGCTTGTCAGCACTGAGATCCAGTACTGAGCGATCAACGAGCGAAGGCTTTGGGTTGCGCAGCACTTCATTTTCAAGAGCTGCCATTGTTGATGGAAAGGAAAGGAAAGGCAAACAAGAGGAGAGCTGAACACTAATACTGAAGAACAGCCACCATTAAAGAGTAGAGAGCAGGAAAATAAAGTTTGCTACCACTAATCTTCATAGAACTCATGCATGTACACTCCTACTTGTTACCACTGTAAATACTTTCTTGTTTCTGCAAATACATAATCAAATAAATATACAAAAAAGGTTTAGTAATTGAATTTATGCCAGAATTTTAAGTGAATATTTTCCCTTTTACCACATGTAATGGTAAGTAGAATAGCATGATACAGGAAAGAAAGCCAGTGAATTGAAAGTGGATTTCAAGCTTACTCCACAAGTTGTTTATAGCTTGTATACATAACTGCATACAGAAGCTTACATGATGCTAAAGTGACTAATCCAGACATGCATGCTCAGTCATGGGATACCTCTTTGAGTTTGACAAAGCTGCATCTTAATATCCTCGATGTGGTTACTCATCCACTGTGACTTCTCCTCACACTGTATCAACTGAGCCTTGAGCTGAGCGCTGCGCTCCACCTGCAGAAACAGGACAACCCATAATAACATATTGTGTGTTCACAGAAAAGTTGGATTTTTTGCAACATAAATGAAAAATATTGGTCACCCAGAAACTTGGATCTAAGAACAAAAATAAATTGTAAAGAAATTCCCTTAGGTGAGACAAAAAAACTGTGAGAAAGAAGCATCACCACATAGTTTCCCACACTCTGTGGGAGGCGAAGAGATGACTGACCTCACTCTGGAGCTGTGCCTGCAGCACCTGTTTCTGGTTGTCAAACTCTTCCTCATCCAGCCTGCGAGTGCTCTGCAGCCTCCGTAGCTCCATCTGCAGGGACATCTGCTCTTTTGATGGCTTGCCCAAATCTAAGACACAGGTTATAGGAGTCAAAGCAGAAAGTAATTGTGCATGGTTTTGCCAGCCTATTGTTCCATCTTTGGGTTTGATTGGGTTAAGAGTAAAGCGCTTGGGGCTTAACACCATGTCTCTGCCTTTTGATTTCATTGAGGAGCGAGAGAGGCCCACTGCTCCCCTCCTCATCCTCAAACAAGAAGAATCCTGTATCCCTGAGGGAGAGGTTAAACTTTGGTTCTGTGCCATGGGTAAAGGAAGCCCTCTGTGTCTGCTGCTCTCCTTTACTATCAACCTATTTTCTTCCACTGGTTCTTTTAAAAGAAAGTTGTCTGCAGAGCTACAGACACAGCACAGAGGCCCCACATTGGCAGGCAAGACACATTCAAAAAGACTGCATGGAGCCAGCAGCAGTGGGACTGATGAGCATGAATGCTTCACAGTAGACTGAATCTCCCACAGCTCACAATGAGCCCGGACTCTGAATGCCACAGAGCAACTGAATTTATGTCACTTATATAAAATATTCTTAGGGACACTGACTTCCTAGGTTAACATGTGTAAGTAGAAACTCTCAGACATTAAACCACACAGAAATAAGTTGTACATAAGGAAGTGGCAGCATGCTTAAACTCCTGGGAGATTACCTGCATGGAGAAGTCTGTTCTCCTCTAGTGCATCCTCCAGCTGTTTCTTTAGCAGCCGCAGCTGCCCCTGCAGCTCCGCCTTCTCTATTTTTAAGCTGGGATAGTCACTCGTGTTCTCAAGTCTCTCTCTCAACAACTCCGTCTGTCGAGTCAGGAGGGTAATCTGCTGCTGCGCTGCGTCTAGCTCGGCCTGGAGATTCACATGAGGCTACATTGTTAAAAGTTCTGTCTGAAATAATAGGCCTGTCTCCCATTGAAGAGGGAGCAGTGTGTATTGCTAGAAGATGGGGGGCATTTGTATACCTGCAGCCGTCTCAGCTCTGAACATGCTCTGCTGTGCTCCTCTAGTTTGGAATTAATGACAGTGGACTCCTTTTGGATACGAGCAGTTTCAGCTAAGATACAAAAAAAGTAGAAACAATCAAAACACAGGCCACGGTAAACCAGTCAGTGACTTTGCATTGAAACACTCACCTTTGTTTCTGTTCTCATTCTCAGATAGTTTTTCTGTTCTTTTGGTGAAGTCCTCCTTCAGCTCCAGCTGGTATCTAAATAATAAAACAAGGAATAACAATAAAAAACACACTGAAACAAAATCACAGCAAAATGTTTTTAAAATCAGTCTGCCCCTTAAATAAACCAAGTGATCTAAAAACGTGTTTTAAAGCTTATAGTTGCATTAGACAAAGTTTTCATGTAATAATCAATTATAAGAATATTAACAAGGGAGCGTCTCTTTCCTGGACTTTGGGGTTTCTTTTCATTTTCAAATTGACTGAGAGAATAACTCACTCTTAGACCATCTGATAACTTTCAAACACATGGAGGCAAAATATTCAGCAGAATAACAGGATTCATCTATGACAATACAATTAGACTTTCCATTTTTCCATTATTTCTACTTTGCACATTCTACAAATCCACAGTTCATTTAGCAGATGCTTTTATCCAAAGCGACGAACATCAGAGTAAGTACAACACAAGCAAGGAACTAGAGAGGAGGAGACGTCAGTAAGTGCAAACGGACAGCTTTAAGTCTGATCAGACACACAGGTACTGACAGGAAGTGCATTTCATTTAATAATTTAGGTTAATATATCGTCATCAACAACAACATGGACAGCTGTTCTTTAGAGTTCTAATCAGCACCAAAACCATCCTAAATATCGTCCTAATCATCAAGTTCATTAAGTGTTCATAAAAGAGCTGAGTCTTTCTTTACATACTAAACAGTGACATTCTCAGGTCAATCAATGACAACATCTGTAAATATTATGTCTTTAACTTGAGAGGTAAAGTGAACTTTTATTAAATAAGACTGCACATGTGAACAAATGAGATCTATAAAGTACCTGCAAAGGTCATTTTTCAGCCTCTGGTCATATGTGTCCTCCATACTCTTCACTGCCAATTCTCTCCTCCTCAGCAGCTCCTCAGTGGTCTTGATCTTGTCCTCTTGAATTTGAGAAGTCCTACCATCAAACAAACAGTCAAATTTCCAGATTCAAGTGGTCACAAATAAGAGAGCACATCAGATTTCTGCTGGCATCAATGTTCTTACTTTTCAAAAGCCTCCGTTCTCATCCTCAGCTCATTCTCTCTGTTCCGCTGTGTTTCAATTTCTTTCAGGACCGATTGTCTCTGTATATAAACATTTTTCTCTTCAATCTAAACAAAAGAGAAATTGAAAAAGACAACACTGATTCAAGTCTATTTACATTAGACAACCAGAGATGATGAGAGAACCAAACAAAGCAAAACATCAAAGCACTTCTCTACCTCTTGTTGTTTTTGTAACCGATCAATTGCGTTTTTCTCCCGCTCCATCAATGCTTTTGCCTTCATTTCATACGTCCTCTCCAGGTCTTGCTTCAGTTTATCAAATTCTTTATGAAATGTGGCTTTTTCTTCCATCCTCATCGTGGCAATTTCAACATCTTTAAAATGTTGCATCTTTGATAAAACAAAAGAGACATTGTGAAGCAGCAGGAAAACTCATGCATCATAACATGAAAACCACAGATATGAGTATACGGCTAAGCTTCACACCTTCCCAGACATTTCTTTAAATTCCTTAGGTGTGTAGAAATAAAAATATGCACCTTTGTGTTCATTTCTGCTTGCATCTGGGCATCAGTTTCTTTCCTATATGCAGCCAGTTTTGATTCGATAGAAAACCATTTCTCCCCGCTGTAACTGATGCTTTCATACTCCTTATCAATCATTTTCATCTTGTCAACTGTAGTGTGGAAGAAAGAACATATTACAACATTTGTCAGGACTGTGCGGGGAAAACAATTTAAGACATGTCATTATACCGAGAGACTCTCCGTAAGTTCCTACGCTGGGTGTCTGAGTGTCAGCGTCATGGCAAAGGCCGTGAGTATAAGGGGGACTAGGCTGTGTGAGAAGGCTGATCAAGAACCCTGCAAGAAAAGAGAAAGGTATGTAAAGAACAGGCATAAAAGGCAAAGGCATTTTAAATCAAAGAACCACTATGTTTTCACATACCTTTTCCATTGTCATCTTTATTTAAAGACTGTAAAATATTAAAAACAATTACATTATTAATATTATTATTATAGTTATTATATGTATATATTTCAACAACTTTGTTCAAACTAAAGTATATCATTATTTACCAGGGACCTGTAAAGGGCAGATTCAGGACTTATTCTCAGAAGCTGAAGAAGTTCCCCTTTTGTGGAAACCTGTCAAAACAGAGAACATACAAACATTTTTGCAATGATGTTCTTTACATTTTAAACTTAAATGTATTAAAGAAAAACTCATGTTGCCATACTCACCTTTTCTTTGCTTAAGCCACTTTCAGGGTAGAATACAGAAAGCGTGTACTCATATCCAGAGGTGCGTAGATGATCTGCCACTATGTTGTTACAGGCTGAAACCAAAAGGGGTTCAGATTTAACAGGTACTGGTCTGGGAACTGGTTCCGCTCCAGCCAAAGGTGGGTGTTTTAACTCCTGGATGAGCTGATTCCGTAGCTGTGTCTAAATCAGACCAGAAGAGTGAAAGAGAACAGAAAGGCTGAAGGTCAAACTGTTTCTAACTCGCAGGGTAGTGTGGTAAAGTCTACAAGAATAGCAACAATAGAATAACAATAGAACTAATCGTATAAAAGTGTGACTTACTTTGAGGGAATCCAGCACTCCCTTATTTCTAAAAGTTTGATAAAGTCTTCTTCTCAGCTCGTCTGGAGATAACGCATCTTCCTTCGTCGAGGACATGTTTATTGAGTATTTTGTTGAAACTGACAGAAGAGAAACAAAAGCAGCTAGACAACAGAACAAGCTAGATATGAAAAACTTTGTCTTTCACTGGATTTCAAAGTTGGTACTTGGTATAAAACGGTTCGTCTTGATACCTGATATCTTAAAAAGTAGTAAAATAATTCTCTAGTTACCAGCCTAACGACCAGAGAGCATCTCGGCGTCCCTTTCGAGGAGGTGCGCATGTAACATTTAAATCCGTCAACGGAAATGTTGATTGCGGAGAGGCCCACAGTGATGACGTATACAAAAAAAAAAAAGTAAATTGTTTATTTTTATTACATAAACGTCCACATGCGTAATGTATGAAATGAGTGAAGTTAAGTCTATGTAACAATTTTACGTTGAATTATCTGTAGAAGAAAGTTGTATGGAATTTTTGGTTTTTGTATTGTTTTTCACTTGACCATGTCGTCATCTTTTTGCGACCGCTCTTGTTCCTTTCCAGGAAGTTAAATTGAAAGGTAAGAGAAGTCTGTTGTATCAAACGATTAGGCCTGCCTTCTCATCCTTATAGTGTTTTCATGTAAACCTTGTAGCTGCATTATGTTTTCTTTTGTGTCACATGAATCATTCAGAGACTCAAACGGTACTCTGAGCATCCCTGCGGCTAACGTTAGCCTGCTAGCTTAAAGTCTCACAATCATTTGGTGAAAAAATCACTGTTACTTGGGGAAGTCTGATTTTGCTATGGTTTTCCTTGGTATTGATTGTTTTCAGGAGAGTGTTACTGCTAAGAAGAACGGGACACGATGTCGGGAAGTTTTTATTTCGTCATGGTTGGTCATCATGACAATCCTGTGTTTGAGATGGAGTTTCTGCCAGCTGGGAAGCCTGAATCAAAGGTAACATGGCTTAAGTATTTTTTTTTCAATCCTTATTTTCCTGCCAAATACCAGAGGCAAATAAATACATAATAGTAATAATCATAGACTAATGTATACTGCCAGGGTATCGCTGTATGAAGCAAATGAACATGACATTTACAGTGTTTTATAGGAAATATGCCCCCCCCCCCCCCTTCATAACATTTGCTTCCTTTACCACAGGATGACCACCGCCACCTGAACCAGTTTATTGCACATGCAGCACTGGATTTGGTGGATGAAAACATGTGGCTGTCCAACAATATGTATCTGAAGACTGTGGACAAGTTCAACGAGTGGTTTGTGTCTGCCTTTGTCACTGCAGGTCATATCCTTTTCCTACTCCATGTCATCATTCCCTTTTCAGCTACTCAGCAGTTATGCATGTCTGCCTAACTGCTGACTACTTTTACTTACATCATTGTGGTCATTGCAAAAAAATCTCTCAACCAGAAGGTTGGGGGTTTGATCCCCAGCTCCTGCAGCCACATGTCCAATCTGTCCTTGGGCAAGACACTTAACCCAAAGTTGTTCCCGCTGCTTCATTAGCTGAGTGGGAATTTTTCTGCTTTTCCATTCTTCCAAAATGATTTTAAAAGAGAAACCACTGATTTATTGATAGTAAAAATATATATTTTGGTCTGTGGCGCTTCTTCCATTTTAAATGTGATAATTCTTTATGAGCAGGTCGCATTGTGTCCAATAATTTTTTTGGTTTGACGTGACTATTTTCTTTAATTATTTGCTATACATACAAGATTCCTCATGCTGCATGATGTGCGACAAGAAGATGGCATCAAAAACTTCTTCAATGATGTTTATGATTTATACATAAAGGTACGTTTTCTTCCAAGATTTGATTACTTTGTATGTGGTAACATACAGAGTCATTTTTTTAGTCATTGATTGAATCATGTATTCTCTTTCAGTTTGCTATGAATCCATTCTATGAAATCAACGCACCAATCCGCTCAACAGCTTTTGAGAGGAAAGTACAGTTTCTTGGAAAGAAACATCTCCTGAATTAATCACTCAACATGCACAAAAATGTTGATGCATCGTGTCTGTCTGCCGAGTATATCATTTTATACTTGCTTGTTATGTCTGTCTTTACTGTTTGACAAATGTTGTAAATATTTACCACACGTGAATTTAATATTAAAATGAATCTTTCTTTTAGATCTTAATATTTGTTTTCTGATTTATTGCATGAAGTTCCTACAGGTTGATTTGAACATTAGACTTTAAGGCTTAAGTTAAGACATAAATACTTGATTAAAAAAATCTATTTAAAAGAAATAACCTTTTCCGCAACTAAGTTAGGTGAATTGTTTTTATCTACGTTCTTATGGATTCTATTACTGTAGTGCATAGAAAGCAACGCAGAAAGGTAACACTAAGTTCAGTTCAAACTGTGGGTTAATAAAACATACTCACTGGAGTTCTCATGCTACAACAGGCTTAAGGAGACAATTCTCAGGGTTTATTCATCATTTGGCATACCAGTCGTACAGTTTTGAATAGATATGAAATTAAAACAAGAGGCAGTCAAGGTAAATAAATGGTTCACTATGTTAAATATCAAACCATGGGTAGAAACTTCAAACATTTAAAAAGAAAAAACCAGTTAATATAGTGCTGTAAAGATCAAAATCATCAATCTAGAAACCAACCCAACAATTAGGACCGCATTTTTCCAATAATGACTTCTATTTGTTGATCCTGTGAACATTAAGTTAAAAACATTTACAAAATAAAAAAGTTTCCAGAAATGTAAGTACTCTGTATGCCATGCATGTTAGCTATGCCCTATTTATCTTCTCTTAGGGATCATGTCCTTCAGTGCTTCCAGCATAAAGCCATAAACTATTCACTATGAAGAATGTGCACAAACAAGACCCAAAGGTGCAAAAATCACAACAAGCCTCAATTTGTAAGTTACACAAAGTTGGTCTTAGCTACTTCATTATTTTCAGAAATTATGTTAATGTGGTGTATAAATATTAAATGATGCACTTTCTGAATACAAATAATCACTCTTACCTGCATTATTATAATTGGGAGTTAAGTTCAGAAGCCCTGTGAAAATTGCAATACAAAGGTAGTATACATTGAGAAAAAGGAAAGTTTTCAAAAATATTTTTTTCCCTCATGATTTATTTTTTGTTTTCAAAAGAAGATAACTATAGGGAACAAAATGCTTATCATGAGTTCCCCTAAAGCTGGACATTAAGTGTGGCAGAACTCAGCCATACTTTTTGGCTGAACTAAATTTAGTGTTTCCCACCCCTTCAAAAAGGAACTCCCAACTGTTAGCCTTAACAGTACAATAACCCATAAAGCCAGTAGCATTGTTTGTTTAACTAAGATGTTACAATAGCATTGTACACCTACAGCCTCATTACATATCAGGCAGAGACAGCAAAATAATATTAGTGATAACTTCTGAATGTTATGAGCAGCAAGCACCAGCAGAGCGAGGCTTTCTGTGAAGCTTGACAGTGTCTGTGGGGATGAGGTGGTCCGTTCTTTCATCCAATGCCAACACTCGACGCACTGCCTCCTCAAAGGCCACCGCTACATTGGTGGCATCCTTTGCACTGGTCTCATAATAGGGGAAGTCACCATTCTCCTGGCACCATTGCTGAGCCTCCTCAGCAGACACCTGCCTCTCTGTCACATCCAGTTTGTTGCCCAAGACTACAAACGGGAACTTCTCTGGCTCCTTGACATCTGCGTAGTAGATGAACTCCTTCTTCCAGTTGCCTAGGTTGAGGAAACTCTGGTTGTCGTCGACACTGAAGGTGAGCAAGCAGCAGTCGGAGCCACGATAGAAAGGAGTCCTCAGGCTGCGGAAACGCTCCTGACCAGCAGTATCCCAGATCTGTAGGGTAACCTGGTGGCCATCTACCTCCAGTTCCTTGTTGAGGAACTCAACCCCAATAGTATGGAAAAGGTGTGCATCAAACTTGTTAGTAACATAGCGATTCATGATGGAGCTTTTTCCTACGCCACCGTCACCCAGCAGGATGACTTTCAGCAGAGATGTCTTTGTTGTCATGGCTATTCACTCCCAATGGACCCCGTTTAAATAATTTGCCTAATGGAGAGATTTCATGTGCAACAGATATTTTATTAGTTAATACAAAGTCACAATATCAATTTTAAAATAAAGCAATTTCTGTTTAACTTAAGATTTTTTCATCGGATATTTTGTGCCCGTTTGTCTCACCCCTGATTGATGATTTGCCTCATCCACTTGTAAAGATCATGTGCTTTTGTCTCTGGTCCTAGGTCACATGCTCGTTTATTTTTTGTTGACGTGAGCGGCCATGTAGGTAACGTTTAACCAGCTGTGAGACAGAGACAAAAAGTTTCCTTATTAATAAATGACCCGTGAGAGCAGTTACAGTAATGAAACACAAACAACATTCAATGCACTGAGCACTAAGACAGAAAGACTTATCTTCAACATAAACATTACAAAGCAAATGGCTATTACATGCTAGCTCGGTAGTCGTTAATTGCGGTTCTATCAGCTAGCTGTTAGCTAAGCTAGGCTGGCATGAGAAAGAAAACAAGGGAACATAGCTTGAGGTTAATATAAAATGCTAAAATCGCTAGCACGTGTTTATGTGCAAGCAATATTACGAGCAACGTACCTTACATTTAGCCGGACCGTTACAGGATATACGAGGAATGAATCATAAAGTGACTTAAATTATATTGATGTTTGACAGCTGTTCGCCTCTGTGTGGCTCGAGACGTCAGGTTGCTTCCTGGTGAGCTTAGAAGGCTTGCTAACACTGCTAACTGCTAACAAGCTAGCTAATGGTAGCTTACAGCCTCAGATCATGTGACAACAAACGAGCGCGGTTAAAGATCCTTTAACTTTTTTCAAACAATTATAATAGAAAAAAACGATTGCAATGGCATACAACTTTTACATTAAAACGAGGTCGACTCTTTCCTGGTGATAATATTATCACAAGTTGTTTGCTGAATAGCTGTCTCCTCCGTTAGCTAAAACACCAGCATCTTCTTTGTACCATCCATGTCTAGCCACCAGATAGCGATATTTAGCTGGGAAATGATATTCACCGTGTGTCGCTGTTGCTTAACAACCTGCAATGTGGACTTATCCATTGAAAGACAAAAATTAAAAAGAAACCACAGGGTAAAAAAACCCCAAGTGTTTCTCCTTTAATTTACTTTTCTCAAACAGCATGAACGCATTAAGTACAACGTTCACGAATTTCCTTTGCAATGTTTTCAATTGTGTAGGAGCAAGCACAAGTAAATTAGTATAAAGCATATAAGCAATGGTACCTTACTGTGAATTATCAGGTAGCCTATCCACTAGTTAACAGCCTCTGCAAGCCAAACCTGCACAGTCATTCTTCTGTCTCTTTGGCTCTCAGTCGAAACAATTCCAATCTTTTACATTATTTCAATGTGGTTAGCAGCATTATCATTGAAGTATACTTTTCTCCCTCAAATTGTAGCCCCATGTAATCTAAATACCGCTTATCCCTTTTCTGTGAAAAATCAATTACCAGCCCTGGTATCCCTGTATCCCTGGTCAGCAGATTGGAGTTTCTAACAATCACTCCTATATTTTGTCCAAATACATTGGCTCACCCTGTAGTACATTTAATCATGCAATCTATTGGTGAAAAATGGAACGGTAGACATAACTAGAAAAAAAAACCAGATTTATTGTTTTGATACAGTATAATACGAAAGCAAAATGTACAGCAGTTATGCAATGAAACGCATTTAAACTAACCAGCCTTGCAAAAAATTGGCAAACTTTAGTTATAATTCAACTAAGAATTCACATTACGTGTCAAAGAAAATCATATACACAACAGATGACAAAGCACAATACTATTCAACCTCACTTACGGACACCTTTTCCTGAGATCTGTGTTATCTATATCATAAGAGAATATTCTGAATATTACAAAACACGGGTGGGGGCGAGCCCCAGCGTGTCCCAGATTTTGTTATCCTAAATCCTGTGTGGAGATTCTTAAAAGAAGGGGCTGACATCCTCTTGACAGGGCCCTGAGGTCAAAACAACATTGTCCAGGCCAATCTCTCCTCCAACTCCTTTGCCACGCTGAGCTTCAAAGACAATCTGAAAGACAGTCAATGGTACCATTACATCTTAAGGTTGTAGTTTTTGGTATATAGTACAACACATGTCTGTTGTGTCTAAAATGTGTTTTTACAGATAGTCACATAAAAACTGCTTGGAGTTACAGTATGATAAATCATCTGTGAGAGTTAACATCCTTTACTTAGTATACTTGTTTTACAGGTTTTTTTGTTACTAGCAGTTACAGCACTGGTTTGACCACCATTTATAAATGATATGCTGAAATGTCATTTTAAAACCAGAAAATGACTCACAGACTCTGGGGCCACCTCTTTCCAGGTCACAGTGAGGAGCTCTGTCTGCCAGCCCTGGTCTCTGCTTTGGCTCTGCTCCCACACTGGGTAAGCAATGTTATCCAGGAGGACCCTGAGAGTTCCCACATTATGGCCCGCCATCCGATAGTCAAAGGTGAGGCAGAAGCTGCCCTGCTGGGTCCGGTCACTGAGGAGCAACTTCAGCTTGGCTACATAATCATGCTCCCCCATGAGCCCACTCATGGTCATGTAGTACTCAGCACCAGCACCTTAGAGTTTGCAGAACGTCTAAGTGAGTATATCTAAATGCATGAAAATGAATGAAAAAAAACAACAACTTGTATTATTATGTCTCTTACCCTCATTATGGTAGGCTACACTCCAGTCCATGTCGTCATCCTTGTCTTGGACCCACTCACATGCTCCCTGGTCAAAGTTGCAATCCATGATAAACTCTATTGGGTGGAATCATAGGACCACATTCAAAAATAGTAACACAAACAATTATGCAATAATGGCAGAAATAGTCATTGGATTACCTTCCTGAACTGGGGCTAGTTCGATTTCTTTCACTTCTGTGGCCGGGCCAAACACTGATTCAAAATCCTCTGAAACTGTGTGAGGGAATTAAAGAAACAAAATGTGTGAATTCATTATTTTTAGACAAATGAACACCATCTTGCTTATTAACAAGGTACATATATCTTAGACTTTTGTCGTGTAATACAAGAACCTGCAATAAACTCTACTTTCAAAAATATTACAATGT